TGACAATGGGCAGACACAACGTTTAATCTGCACTGAGTTCAGTCATTTTTATTCATTCTATTTCTGTTTAACCTATCATATTTGCCTACATGTTGAGCTTAATTCCTACATGCAGCTGTTTTAGTATGATATGGAAATGGTCTGTCACAGCCTTCTTCCAGAATGTGTTTACTTCACAGTCTAGCCAACAGAATTGGTTTTCTGAGGAAGTCTTCCATCCACGTTCAGATCAGGTCACTCCTGCATAGTTTCCTAGATCAGCCAAATGTTCCCATAGTCTATTAACTTTTTGTAAGTTTTCACACAGTAGAGTTATAGAGTATGTTCATACCTATTGTTTCTTGGAATGTTGCTTCTCAATATGTTTGTTAAAATGGAGTTTCTTAGAACCTTTTCACCTGGAATGTGGGGAAGAGCATTTTCAACCCTGAGAGCCACACAGATGCCAGGTTGGTAATCAGCAGCTGGAAATTTGCATGCACATCCCAACTCACACGCACATACACCTCTTCACAGACATCTCATCCAATTCCTTTCTTCCCAATGTCTACTGTAGAGTGCTGGTATCCTGATGCCAGTAGTGGCAGGAAACCAGTAATATGATCCCTGCCATCTAACTGATCATATAGTGCTTGGTTTCATGCTATTAATGGCAGCAACCCACCTCCCCCTCATCCAGCAACCTAATCCTCAAAAACTATTTGGCCATGCTGTTCAGCTGGCCAGTGGAGAGAAAGGGGCAGAGTGTCTCTAGGACCACATTTTTTGGTGGCTGAGGGTCACATATAAATCTGTGCTTTTGCACACATGAATTAAACGTACCTCTCTGAGTACAAACTATTGTTCATATGAAGAGCACATGCTTTTCAGAGAAAAGCTCCTGGTTTCAGTTTTGATACCCTTAGTTAAAAAAAAACCAAAAAAAGATGCCAGGAAGTATGATTGAAAAAGATTAGGCTTTGAACATAGTTCTAGATTAGGAGTGATCCCGCAAACTGCATATGAAACTGACTTTCACACATCAACCGATAATGAAGAATATTTAAAAATTCAACAAAAATAAGTGTATCTTTTAAAAATCCAAATTTCTAAATACAAGCCCATAATGAATATCCATCCAAACTACTGTTTATTTTCCCAAACAGAAATATGGGGGGGGGGGGGGGGAGGAAGGTTGCACCATTCATCTGCCATCTAATAAGATGAATCTTGAACACATTTCAGCTATTTATTTTAATTTTAACTTTATTTTATATATCAGTTTATATAGCCACCTATCTTACCAATGCAACAAAACATGGTACATTAAAAAAAATTAAAAAACACCATTCCCAGCTGAGTAACACAAAGTGATTCCTGAACACACTATTCATCAATAGTGTGGGCTTGATTACTCTCCTGGCCCCCATGCCTATGAAAACAGTCAAGTCTTCAAGGCTTTCCAAAAGGTGAGCAGAGTCAGGGCCAGCTGAACCTCAAGCAGTATAGTGTTCCAGAGGGCAGGCACAGCTATGAAAAGGCAAGCTTCCTGGGTCCCACTAGATGACAATCCCTAACCTGGAGCATGTCCCTCCTGCCCAATCTAATGGGACAGGTAGAAAAAACCCTGATCCCATGCTATGCAGGCTTTATAGGTAATAACCAGCACCTTGAATTGCACCTGGAAGCAAACTGGAAGCCAGTAGAGCTCATGGAGCAAAGGTGTAACATGGGTAAAGTGAGACACACCCAAAATTGCCCATGCTGCTGCATCCTGGACCAATTGAAGCTTCCTGATGTTCTTCAGGGGCAGCCCCATGTAGGGTACATTACAGTAATCTACTCAGGAGGTGACCAAAACATGAGTGACTAAGTAAAGTGCCTTCTGATCCAGGAAAGGGTGCAATTGGTGCACAACATGAAACTGTGTGAAGGTCCTCCTATCTATGCAATACTCTGCTAGCAAGTGATGGTTACCAAGCTCTTCTTTATAAAATCAAGCCACTGTACAACATTTCTTGTATAACCATGTACATTCCATCTCAAGATGCATATTTTAAAGCTGATTTTTACAAGATACATTTACTTATACCTTTGCTAAATCCTGTTTTTAGAATGTCATTCAAATAGAAAGCTTCCTGACTCAAACTTGTGCAAGTATAGCGAAGGTACACTTAAAAAGTATGGCCTACGAGCAGGTTTATTTAATCTATATGTCAGGGGTAAGTTGCACAAAATCATTTTTAAATAGGTAATATAAACACATCCTTACAATTTATACTGCAGAATGTTTTTTGCCAAGATTACAAGGTAACCATCTCTACCACAGTAATAAAAACTGGTTTCCTTGAATTTTCTGTACAACTCCCCAAATAATTATTTTACAGTGGAGAAGCTAGTCAGAGTTTTCTAAACCTTCTGTTTGAAAGATTTATCTTCCCATTAATAGGTTCTATAGTCATGTTAATATAATGCAAAGGCTACCCTGCAAGAGAAGATATTGGGGGAAAAAACCCACATGTTTACCAAGTCAAAGTTGCAACTAACATTCAAAAAGCATGAACTGACCAATACAAGCCACCAGAAAACACCCAGGAAGCTTTAAATTAAAGACTAAGAAGTTCCACTAATTTTGAAGGGCCTAAGTATGATTAAATCTGAATTCAAATCTTTGCATCTGCCTTTGTATCCCACCTTCAGCACCATTATTGCCAAAGCAGCTAACAAAAAATATAGGATTAAAAATAAATGCCATGCTTTGCTTAAGTATCCAAGATGCTCACATAACAAATTACATGGTTGTCAAAAGATTTTGTATTTGATTTCAGTATAGCAAGTACATCCCACATAATTCCTAAAAGCAGACTAATTCACATCAATTTTCAGCTACATGGTAATCGCGGGGACTCCTTCGAAGCACATAGGCTAAGGAAGCTTAAGTGAATGCTCAGGAGAAAAAGCCTTTAATCAAGTCAGCAGATACGCCATTTATCTTCAGCATCAACTACAGGTTTAGTTAGGAAAAAAAAATCATTCTAAGAACCAGTGAGGGGAAAAATACATATGACTTGGTTTCTAAACAGATTTATACACTCCATAACTCAACAATCAATGCTATCAATGTTGTGCAACCTCATTTTAGAATGATTGTACAGCTCAAACATTTTGATCCCCGTTCTCTTCTCACTTTGATATCCAATTTGATTGAACCAAGTAAGTTCCACACAAGAAAGTATAAGCTAGTTAATTCATAGCTAACAAAATTCTTCTAGTCTGTGTCATTAAAGCAAAGAATGAACCTACCTGGAGGTTGCAATTTCCACTTTAGTTCTAGCCATGGCAGCTGCACGCTGGGCACCTTCAAGTGCTCGCTCCACTTTTTCTTTAGTTTTTGTGTTCCTTATTGGTATAAGCTGCTTCCTTATTCCACGGACCAAAACATTGTTTTTATACTTTCCCTCTTCCTTGGTGCCATCTGGAAACATGGTACATCCATATCCATGTCTCTTGTTGTTTAGCCACTCTCCTTCATATTTCATACCATTTGAACGCTCACTAATACCAAAACCATTACGCTTGTCATTCTTCCATTCACCCATATAGGTTTCTGTGGTGGTAGCATCAACGTGGTCTTCTACTGGAGAGTAATCACAGTCCATATCTCCAAAGCTAATGGTAGAATTGGCATCACTAGAACTAATCCTGCTCATGGCAGCATCACTCCTGACAGAGCTACGTTTGCTAGAAATAGATGATTTTGATTCAGATTTTCTAAGTTTTATACTACCAAGAAGAGATCCTCTTCTGAACAGGCCTCCTTTTTTCTTACTACCAATACTATCGAGATCACTGTGAAAATTCAACACAAACCCTCCTCTAGTTCCAGCTGGACTGTCTGCAGTAATATCATGTAGAACAGTGCCATTGCTCTGCTCGCTACGGAGTGAAGCTAGAGATGTCCGGAGGGGTGAACGGATCACAGTCGCCATGCCATAAGGAACACTTTGTCGCATACCATAGCCATGTCTCATCCCTCCTGTCCACTGTCCCTGGTATGTACCTTGTCAAAGAAAAATAATGAATGAAATAAATACATATTTGAAGCTTTTATTCATATTGCATCAATAGTCCTCAGGATTCAACTTTTGTATTTTCACTACAAAGCATTAACCTTGTCTGAATTTTTTTCTTTTGATTCATTTAGAAAGAAAGAGAGTGAAGACAACAGCACATTACAAAGGTTAGGTTATGATGGGCGTATATTTAATCAGCATATATAATATTGAAAGAAATGACATGGAAGCTTCATATCTCTCTATGTTGTATTCCAACTGTTGGCCAAGGGACCAGGGGGAGTTTGGAATTGTGGAGTGATACTTCAACAAATAGGTGAGCATGGGTTAAAGACTGCAGACTGTTGAGTCAACACAAAGCCTTGATAGAAATAAATGGTGGTTTTTGATAAGGATGCCAGAAGAGACACTATATACTGTATTTCTTCTGTAATCTGGGACACTGGGATGGCTTAGTCTCTCATCTATTGCATCCAGAAACTGATAGCAGTAGTTTAATTTGACCTTGAGGGTAGATTAAGTCACAGTGAATAGATGATATTAACACTATATTCCTTCCTGACTTCAGCTGAATCCAATGGGACTTGCTTCTGAGTAGATCTGTCTATCAAACCTGTGAGGCAAATTAGAATCACTGTAAATCAAGGTGTTCAGTAAGCTTCTTGCTTCAGAAAGTACCTGAATCTGGATTATTCACATCTGAAATGCTGTAAATTCAGCTGAATTTGGTCATTATTAAATGGCATGAAAACAAAGGATTTAAATTGGTTGCAACTGATTTGTTTGGTTTCAGTGAGATCAAATCCTAAACCTATTTACTAAAAACTTAGTACCATTTCAAAATACCTTTTTGAAGGTATTTATACCATGTAAACATGAGATAAGTCATGATAAATATTTGTTAGACTGCCACAAAGGTCTATTGTGGACTCACTAACAAGGAGGCCTCAGTCACAGCAACTTTGAGGGCCATGTATATGGTATTCTGTTTAGTACTTATATAAAATACTTGGCAGTTCGATTGTGACATTTGATAATTTACAAAATACATTGTATCTTAATCAGATCTATAAATATTACTGTTCAATACACTGAAGACAGCTTGGATTTCAGGCTAAAAAATTGGCTTTTAAAAATTATCAATTACAATGTAAGTAATCACTGCATAGGAAGCTCTAGGAGTACAAAAATATTTTTATTGTATATTCTAGGAATGCAGAAAACATCTTGAAATTTTTATAAAGAGAGAAGCATTTTAAGAACAGCACATGTACACAATCATGAACATGAACCTATAGAAATATATCCTCCCCAGATTTTACATAATTTTAAGGAATTCAACAATACATTTACCATCAGTATAAGCTTAAAAAAAACACAGTAAATATGAAAGCAAGATTTTCTTCAGTAGCAGCAAACTACAAAAGGATTTGAACTTTAATTCTATATAATGGATTTTTTTAGCTTTCACAGTTAATACTGACATTGTTGAAATGTTGTTTATTGTACTTTTTGAATGACTGAGAAAAGTTATTATCCATAGGCAACACTGGAAATAATTATTTATACTTTCTACTCATCATTTCCAATGCATTAATCTCATATTTAACAGCACACTTTAATAAAACACCTACGTAAAAATACTTGGTAGTTCAATCCTGTAAATTATATTGCCATGTAAGATTTTGTATAATGTAATATATAAGATTGCAAAGACTTCGCTCTCTGAAGAAGTCTATAGTGATGGGAAAGGTGGAAGGAAAGAGAAGAAGAGGACAACTAGCAGCAAGGTGGATGGACTCAATTACAGTGACAATGAGTGTACCATTGGAAGATTTGAGAAGGAGCAGGTTGGGGACATAGTGTCCTGGACAAAACATATGTGGTCACTAAGAGTCAACACCAAAATGTGTTATGTGTTAATGGCACATAATTGATCAATCAAGACTGAATCGGAAAATGACCTTTTGAAAAGAATGAAGAAGCTACAATTCTCAGCCTATTTACTTGAAATAAGCCTCATAAAATACACTAAGAATGGCTTAAGAACCTAGAGCATAACTGTAAGATATGAAGATAAAACAGATTTTTTAAATTTACAAATTTAAAAATATTTTAAAGGAAAGCATATCAGTTAAAGGATATGTTTGAATATATCTGAAATCAATTTTAGCACTAGGTACCCAGCTATAATCACTGAGATCATGGCTGAGTATATATATTTCTGGGTGTATGTATGTATGTACGTATTTATTTCTAGGTCTTCCAACTCAGAAACACTGATCCTCTGATATGAATGGAATAGAAGAATGGGCTGCAAGAGCTCCTAAGTAAATTTTATGGGAGGCTCACTACATATGTACACACTCACCAAAAGTACCATCTGGACACTTACGTACCAGCAAACACTCAGAGAATTAAGCTACAAATGGGTCTTCCATCTGAGCAAGAAGTTGCATAGCATTTGGCCATCACATTCTACAGAGTGTGCCAAGACAGAATAAGATTTCTTTAAAAACATGTTTATTTTTTCTCTACATAGATTTGGATATAAAATATTGTGAAATAATCTGCAAAGTAAATTTCTTGTACGTTATTTGTGCAACATTAATTGCTCAAGCAAAATAAATATTGCTGTTTTATTTACATAAGTATTTTTATTCTGTCTTTCCTTAAGTGTGAGATGACTGTGAGATTAATATATGGAAGGCATTACATTAGTAAACTATCTTTAGGTTAGAATACATCAAGAATGGTACTATAGCCTCCCGTAAATGTTGTCACTGAAAACTGGCCAAACATTGACTAGCGTTCAAATGAGGGTGTCAGTGAAGGAATTATCTGAACAAGATGTACTCTCTCCTGAAGGTGCTTGTTTGATACCCTTGCAATGTTCACTTTGAAGCCAGAAGAAATTCAAAGATTAATTGCAAAGTTTTTTTCTTCCAGAATAAAGTGATAGGTTTAGAACAGGATAGAAACATCATAGTAGGATGCTCAAGAACGTTGTTTTTGTCATATACCTTATATAAAATAGATTATTTTAAAAGGTTTTTTTTACAATAGAAAAAAAGGTATTTTTTACAATAGAAAAAAAGATTCACTACAAGAGAGCCTATAAAGAAGCATTTTACATCAACTGTTGATATGCTAACATTATCCTCAGCAATTAACAGGACAAAACATACGATCACTTGTTATCTGGGCTCATCACAGCTTATACTAAATTTTAACAAGGAATTAATTCACTATATCTAAGAGATCATTTAAGCACAATTCTACATCTAAAATCTGTATGCATAAATGAAGATGAGAATTGTCTTCCTTTTCACTAATCCTTTCAACGTCCTGCTGGATAAAAACTATAGTGGGAAAGGGACTGGTATATTATGTGTTCTGGTCATGTTCTGTCCCCCTCTCCCCAACTGTTTCCACTTTTCAGCAGTTTTGGGGCAAGGAAAGTATTTACAACCTTCTGGGTTGTCCACTTCTTCCAGCCTGTCCACTGCTTAATTGTCGTGATTGCTCCTTTTTAACCATAAACAGATGGGTGTGGAGGTGAGATTTCTACCCCAAAGGTCACAAGGTGACCTTGGAGGGGAAAACTCACAATTCAAAGCTGTTCTGGGAGGCAGAGATAGGTAGGCAAAGAACTTCAGGTTCTTAATTAATTAATTAATTATGAATTATTAAGACTTAAGTTTCCTAATTCATTAATCTCATATAAAATTATGTCCTTTAAATTAAAACAATTGATAAATAACAAAGAGAGGCAATATGGCCGATATATTTCTATTCTACCTGTTAAATATTATTTAAAAAATCAAGGAAACCCCCCCCCCACAAGTAACACTCCTAAGATTCCTAACTGAACGCTCATTAATTCTGGATGTTACTGACTGATCTCAACTATTTCATACATTTGCAGTTTCATATCTGTATGAAACTTTTTTTCTGAACTCATTTCAATTTGATTTCAGACCTGAATGACAGTGCCCTGTACCCCCTGATGCAGTGTTTTTCAACCCTGGCAACGCTAAGATGTCCGGACTTCAGTTCCCAGAATTCTGGGAGTTGAAGTCCAGACATCTCAACGCTGCCAAGGTTGAGAAACACTGCCCTGATGTATAGTGAGAAAAGAACTGCGACCCAACTTATATTCCTGTATCTTCAATATCTACATGGAACTGCTCAGTGAGATCAGCTGAAGTTTTACAGTTCAGGTGCCATCAACCTGCTCATTAAACTCATGTTACTTCTTTCAGCATGGTAGAAACTCTGAATCAATGTTTGAAAGTACTGTAGTATTATACCATATGAAGGAAGCCTACTGAAGCTGAACTCCAACAAGACAGTCATTATGTTGATAGATGATTTGGTTGACTAGAAGTATCAGACATTTAATTCCTTTTTATAATGTATTTTAGCTCTGCTGGATTTGGTTGGCTTCATGGCTTCTATTTCTTTTACCTTTATTTTCATATTTTTATTGAAATGGTATGGCACGCTCTCCACCAGTTTTACAGTTATGCATATAGGTGAATGTATAGTTGAATGTATATTGCTCTGTGAGATCTCACCATAAAAGAGTTGGGTGGTTGTGTGAATTCTACATCAAAGCTATTTTTATTAAAATCAGTTTGATTTCCCAAGTACGGCTTGTATTATCAATATTCTATCAATGTAGCCAGAACAACACATCTCTCTGAAATGGACAGAAAGGACAGAAAAAATCCTGATGTTTCCTACCAGTGATACTTAATTTTAGACTGGCATATTTCTAAAGAAAAAGTAAGAATAAAGATTCAAATCCTTTGTGATTAATTGTGAGAGAACTTCGCACTTAAGGTGCAACTTAATAACTCAGAAATTCTTTGGCAAGAAAGGGTTCCTGAGGATGACTTGAGTGAAATTCCAAATTGAAATCAGATTAGCCGTATTCAGTTCTACCAATGCAAATACTACCAGGGAGGGAGTGGGGTACATT